CCTAGTAATCGGGATTGAGATAAAATCCAATGAGACAATTAGACGACAACCCCGGAATTTTACTATTAAACTCCTAAATGCGATTCTAATCGGAATTAATAAATTAAGTTTTCGATCTAATAACATGACAGACTCACTAATATAACACCCGGAGTAATATTATGAAGCAACGGACTATTTAAAAATTTTGAAATTGATTTGGGACAGAGAATATAAAATTAATGAAATTATTCCCGATCTCCAAAGAACCAGAAATAAGCGTGGATTGGTAAATATTTTAGGTTTCGTGTTGAAGTCAATAAACGGTAATTTGGACGCATTAAATTAAATCAAAATATGTTACAAAGGAATATTAGAAATCAATACTTGACAAACATCATAGCCAAATTTAACCCTACTACTCAACAAATAAATCAAAATGAAAAACTTATCGAAAGAAAATTAAATCAGGTTAGTCTTATTCAAAAAACAACATATCGAGAATTTTTTCAAAGAAACTTCCACAGGCTACTGTAATATTTTTTAAAAAACTTCTGGATTCCTCCTGAGTCGGTTTTTGCTGAGTCGAAATTGCTGACGTTTCGCCAATCATCCTATTGGCTTCTTCAGAGCTTGACTGAACTAGTTTCTGAAGAAGCCAACAGGATGATTGGCGAAACGTCGGCAATTTCGACTCAGCAAAAACCGACGCATGAGGAATCCAGAAGTTTTGTAAAAAATAACATATCTAGAAAACATGTATCTGTACGTTTTCCAAATTAAGAAAATTGTATGCTAGTAATATTAAGTCCAACGACCTTTTTAGCGAACTTAAACAAATCAAAAAAATTGTTGTTTTAAATAAAATGCCCTCACCTATTAACTTGGAAACTATAGTACATTTTGAAAAATTGATTACTATGGATAGCTTTATTCTAGATTATTTTCAATTGTATTAGACATCAGTGTCTCTTTAAGGTTATTATACGGCATTCTAAATATTTAATTAAAAATCAATTACACTACATATACGAAAGAAGTTCCTGCAAAGAAATGATGACCTCATGTATCTATGTCCGCAAGGAAATGTTAAAGAACTTGGAATGAAGAGTCCTTGCGAATTTCAGTTACTGCAGTCATCAAAACCTACTTCCTGGGAACAGATAGACGTCAGCAGACCAATAATAAACCGACTGGATAATTCCAAAATATTGATTGATTTTGCCTAAAAGCAAGCTCGCCTGGCCAACCGGATGTCAAATGAAAATCTATGAGACAACTATTGTGAACTACAAGAAAGAAATTACCAAAACCCAACCTGCTATTTTTCCCGATTTTGATTATTTAAGTTAGAGTTGCATCAGATCGACAATAAGATAATTGAAAATAATCCTGATCGATTTCCTAATTATTTGTCGAAAATACCTGTACATAGACCATTTTTATATATGTTGTTTTACTTATAACTTCTGTTTATGTAGCCTACAAGTACAATACAATTGAACTAACCCTCACCAGATGTAGTTAACTCTAAAGGGGGAAGAGTTATGTTACCACACACCCTGAGAATCTGTTGAGTGTGCAAGACTACATATACATATAACGACATATAACGATGGGAAAGAGGCGTGGCGCTCCGCTTGTGCCAAATAAACTCGCGACTCAAATGCCGTTTACCACATGTTGCATGTTGCATAATATGGTATTGTCAGTACAGTGAATAAATGAGTCAATACCGTGTATTGCAGTAAAATCTTTTCGGGCTTTTATTTTTACAGTAAAACGGATGAATATGCAAAAATTTAGTCTAGTTTTAAAATTTATGAAACTTTAATTAAAAAAGAAGTTAGCAACCCCTGTGGAATTTAAATACATTTTTAATGGCAAATAAACAAAATCGTAGGTATTGGAGCACAAATAATCCACAATGAATAAGAGAAAATCATACAAAACAACTACAAAAAATAAATGTTCGGACCGGGATTTTGAATAACACAATTATTACCCCGATCGCACAACAGAAGGCCGAATAAAAGAAATTTTTTAATTAATAACTAACTAATGTACACTATTTCTGAACTGGTTAGGAGCAAAATCGACTTGCATGTTAAGGGGCTCAATTTTTGATAAATATTTAATGGGAAAACCGTATGGCGAGATACAATACAATACAATTTTAAACCATTTTGCAAATTGCGCATAACTGTTTTATTTATGAACATTTGGTAGTTGTCTATAGTACTAAAAAAATATTCGCGTCGAGCCCTTTTGACCCATATAGATTTATTGGTTTCCATAATGCCAAAAGGCGGAAATATATGGCATTATTTGGTTATTTATTAGTAGGCCCGTGCATGATCAAATCATGATGAAAAAGACATCACAGAGAAACATTTAAAATAGTTTTATCAACACTGGTAGGTTAAAAAAATAAAGCTAATTTGAAATAACTTAAGTGAAAGACACAAAATCTAAGAAACACATAATATTTTAATTTAATTTTATTTAATTGGTATATATTAATTTCAATATTTTTGATTATTTATAAAACAAAATTTTAACTTAATAAACAAAACACAATAAATATTCAAATATAAAATATTAAAATTTAACCTTTTACATTAATTATACTGAAATATCTTAATTTAAAAAAATGTTCAAATTGGTCGCCGCCCCCTTCAACACCCTAAAGGCACCTTTTTCGTACTGAGAGGTAAAAGCAAACCCTTCTCGATTGGCTTCTTCTAACTCTGCTCCGAGTTCCAATCCAACATTGTTCAAACTCTTTATTTAAAAGATCACTTACAGCCCTGTGTTGTGAGCGGGGCAACCATCTTGCTGATAATAAATACTTCTTTCAAGAATTAATGGTAAGTCTAACTAACTAACCAAAAACGAAATAAGACATGTTCGCAAAATATTTAAAATATCCGCTAAGTTCACACAAATCTACGGACCTTGGCGATTTTTTCAATTTTTTTTTCAGAAATCTGGCCAAAAATGCCAATTTTATTTTATCCCATTATCTTATTAAAAACTCTAATTCTAGTCAATAGATATCAACAAAAATCATAAAAAAGGTTTTTTTAAAGGGCGACGACGAATTATTTCTCTCATGGTTCGCTTCTTTTTTGATCGTTTTTTAATACATTTTCTATATAAAAGCCAGCATTGATTTTTTGTTCTTTTCCCAGACGCTATCTATTGATATTGGCATTGAGTTGAATCGTAGCTGGACAAAAATGGCAAATAAACACAGGACGAAATAACTCGTAGTTGGCGCCCTAAGCAATTTATCTCGTAGTTGCCAGTCAACGGGTTAAAAAAATTCTCTAATATTGTATTTATCTGAATCCAAAATATTCATAAATAAAAAAGTCATAGGCATTTTTAAAATTGCGGAAAATTTAAAAACACCATATATCTCGGTTTTAACCATGAAATGTTTCTCAAAAATCGGGCCCTTGACATGTATGTCAATTTTGATCTATTGAGTTCAGAAATAGGATTTTCCTATTAAAACGCTCCAACTACGACCACCCTGTGCACAAGTGAAAAATATATTTCAAAAACTAGATCTGAGAGTCAAATCTGGGGTCACGCAAAAATTGCCCACGAACAGTTGAAAAATCCTTAAAATATTGTACAGGGTAGTTGAATTGGATTAATTAATTTAATACATTTATTAATGTGCTTATTTTAAGATGGTACTAAAAAATAAAAGTCACTTAAGCAATATTTGACGCCTTTTATCATTATTTTTGAAATTTGTAATAATTAAAATTTGTTTGCAAAATCTTAAAATCACACACAAAGTAATCGTTATTTACAACGTTAATTTTTTTTTACATTGATCTAATTTCTTTAGGATAGATCTGAATACCAGTCCTGGAAAAGTCCCTAAAAGGGTTTTTCGATTTTCCGCTTCCAAAAACTGTGTGGCCACGATTTTAGTCGATGCTATATGAGATAAGCTGTTTGAGTGCCTTTTAGTAAGGACTATCCAACAAAAAAGCATTATCAAAATGAAGCCAGAAAGAAACATTCTACAGCTTATGCGAAGCGCCTGCGATATTTCCAGCACCATGTTCGAGCTTCAGGGAAATTATAAAAATATAATTAATTTTTAGGTAATTCCGAATAAGAATTTGTTGAAAAATTATTTTTTTTTAAAACCCTGCTAGGAGCTCTCGATCTCTTGTTAAATAGTCCCATTTGGTCATAACTTTAGGTGGAATCAATAAGCAGAATAAGGTTTTAGTGCATTTTCGAAATATCTATTAAACAAAAAAAATATATCCAAATCGAATCTGTCCGAAAATCAATTAGGTCTGTCTGTTGAAAGTTACCTTTGTTTTTGCACAAAATCCAAAAACGCAATAAAATATAGGGGGTTCCACTTAAAATTCTAATGGTAATGCCGATACCGAAGGGACACCCTATATAATTCAAAAGTGAATAATCTAGAGATTCCCTTAGATGCAAAGAACTTTTGTATTTAAAATTTATTAAGAATTATTACAGCAACTTCATTTGAGTTTTAAATTCTTTTATTCATATTTTAGGTTAGGATGAATAAATTGAGATGCGTTTTTTTATTTGCATTACGCCAAAAACGCCACCTGGTGGTGCTTTTGATGGCGTAGGAAAAGCCCGTTTCAACGACTCTAAAAAATTGAATTTGCCTCAGTTTTAGAACCGTGTTCACTCTAAGTAACATTAATATAAGCAAAATTGGCAGAAAATGGGTTTTAAAATGCTAGATGACAATCACGCCCTCTGGTTACGATTCCAGAACCTCAAAAATGGCGGATTTGCTTAATCTTTTTTTTTTCAAAATTAATAAACATTAGTTTCTCCCTACCTCGTGAGCCTTACTGGGACATCCGGTATATTTTCAATGTAAATGCTTATTTCAACTTAGTTTTTTTAATTACATTTCCCGTAATGTCAAATTGAAAATTTATATTTTTTGATATCTGCTCCAACTTACGTAATACGAAAACTTGACAAAAACTTACGGGCCCGATTGCCGTCGTGACATCAGCATAGGTAGAATCGCCATCACCAGGGATTAATGTCAGTCCATACGCCAGTTGCAGTACGAGATAGCAAACGCTCATCCCGTAGGCCAAATAAATACTGTACGTCAGGTTCGATGAATACTTATAAATAGTGTAATGACTCTTTAGTGAAATCACAGATAGAGCGAACAGCATCGACCAAACCACAATCATGAACGTGGGTCCTCTCGGATTTCTTCCCAATTTTTTCGTCAACCCGCCAATGTAGGCGCAATGGGTGAACCACGATAAACATTGAACCCCGCTTAGCAGGTAGGCCACCTGAGGAATGACTTCTTCGGTTTTGTTCAAGAATATATAGATTTGTACAATCGGAAGGAACGCAAGTAAAAACGAAATAATGAAACGGATTTTGAGGGCAATGAGAGACAACTGTCCCCTCGAAACCACTCCATATCGTCGTCCAAAATAATAGGCAGAGCCGCAGCCCGCTACCGCTAAAATTGGAATTTGCAGACACACTTCTTGGAAACATAGATTCAAATCGTGCCACTGCGGCGACCAAATTTTGAATTCTTCATCTCCGCAAAATCGCGACCAACTCCAGCGCCACTGCGATAAAACGTCGAAACTCTCGTGAACCATCTGCAGTAGATTTCTGTAAAGTTACGAAGAGAAAATTGCTGAAAACATTGAAATAGCATTTCCCAGTATAAAAATTAATAATAATTACACGGAAACGCTAGTGATACTAAGTTCAGTGATCAGAGAACTATATTCGTCTCGACTAGAGATTTTCAGTGCCACATAGGACATCGCTAAATGCAAAACCATTAGGTTAGATAGTTATAATATTCAGCACAACACTTACCTATAAGTCAAGGGGTTCTAAACATGTCAGGTAAGCCAAACTTTACTTCTGTATTGTACTTGCGAAAACATTAACGTACACCATAAAATTTGAGGTTAAATTATTGATGACTGCACACAACAGACAACATTGGTGACCCCGCCTTACTTTTTCCAAATATCTAAAGGTTTCTCGTAGCGGCCGCGCTGCGCGACCATGAGGTGCCGCTACATCTTACTAGATGTCGCGGTGTGCACATAAAATGAATAAAAATGAAATAGCATTTGCTTTGTTTGAATGCTTGGGGCCTCCTATTATTGCAATGTAATCTAAATACTTTATCTCTGAAGAGAATGTATTTCATATAAAATATACCCGCACACGTCCATCATTATTCTGTAGCATGTCCGGAAATTGGTACACTAGATTTCACGCAAACATATGACTTTACAGATTTTAGGGATTTCACTGGTCTCAGATTTAGCGAATTGTACAAAGATTTCACATATTTCTAAATGATATTCCAGATTGCACCGATGAGAAATACTTTTTAGGTTATGTGGAACATTTCTGTGTTCCCTCGTAAATAGGAAACTATTAAGTTGATATATATAAAATACACTTAAAAAACTTTTTTCAAAAGATGCGAAAGGTTTGTCATTATAAATTTCATAAAATTGCTAAATGGACGTAAAAGGCTTTTGAAAATTGTTTCTTAACTTTTTTCTTCATATTTAATTAAGTTTTTTTTATTTTGCTGTCCTACACATTCAGGTAGCGAATTCGACGAAAATTGTTAATTTTCTGTCGACAAAAATTTACAATTGAAATCAAATAGACAAAAAAGCAGAGAAAATACTTTTGTGGCCTTATCTTACCGTATCGTTCCATTGGCGAATCATTCGGTGAGTGAACACATCAAAAATGTAAATGAAACATATCAATAGTCTCGCAATAGTTAGAATATTGGATTTTTTTTGATTAAGTTCTTTATTATTTTATGATGACTTAACTAATGGAAAATCCAAAAAACTCTACATTTTTTAAAAAATATATGACTTCACCAAGATTTTGCAGATTACGTTTTATGACAATGGATTTTTCCTGTATGAATATTTAAAATCAAAAGTGTATAAAAAAAAGCCACAAAATTTAGATATTAATTAAAGATATAGAATTTGATACGAAAAAAGTAAAATTAATGAAAATATCCTGAGTAATATTTTGGAAGGATTTTTAAACCTATTAGGATATTGTTAATGGTGGTTTAATTATACTCGATGTGGATCTTGTAATGGGACTGTCTGAATGTTTTGCGTTAAGCAAATTATTAACTTTTTCTTGAGTTCTAGTTTTGTCTCCATATCCAATAAAAATGAAAATTTCAATTCTCTTAGTTTCATTTATATGCATCATAAAATAAATTCTTGGTACTCGGACTTCAACTTTTTGACCCACCATTTATTTTTTATATTGTTAAAAATGCGCAACAAAAATATTATGACGGACGTGTTTGAGTATTTTTCTTGAACTCCAATACCTGATTTTGAATTAATTACATTTTACCCGTTCACGGTATATTTAAATTCTGAGAAACTAAAACGTGTCTGTTATTATGTAGGCGAGGGCTTATTAAAATTAGGAAATTGAGACATGAAAACTTATAAGAAAAATTTTTTTTTAAATGTTTACAAATTTGTCTTAGTTTATGGAGTTCTAAATTGGTGAAAGAAAAAAGGCAATTTCACTAGTTCTCAGCCACTGGCAGTAATTTTCGATAGCTTTGAAATGCTTGTAAAATCTCTTTCCACCTTAGATATTTAACTAATCTATATTGAAAATTGTTCTTTTATTATAAAGCTATATAAGTTTATATTTACTAAATATTTTTAATTGTTGGTATTTTTTTAACGAAATAATTTTCACTTTTATTTTATTAACCGGTTTAGGGTTATTAATAATCATACTAAACTATAGTGACCAACCAAACATTCAAAATTTTGCTGAATGAATAAAATAAGTATTGCCCTCATAGAGAATAAGGTTAAAATTATTTTTAAAAACAATAAAATATTATTCGCTGCCTAAATTATGTACACTTTTCTTTTCAGTTTTTGTGCACTCAATTCGCATAATTGTCAAAATTTTCCCCTATTAAATTGGCTGATATCAAAATTTGCCTGACGTAGGATGATTTTTTTTCAAAAACCGATTTGGCAAAAATTGTAAATGGAGGTGATTGAGTATAAAAGGGACGCAATATTATAGAGGGTGTTTTTAATTGTATGAATTTATTTAGTCAATTTGGAATGATAAATATTGAAAAAATTAAAATAAATTTCATTTTTAAAAGCAGACAGGGCGTTTTCTAATTGAGTGTCAATAATTATAGGGGGGGGGGATTTTTGGGTCCATTTTAAAAAGAAGTACTAATACTCAGATGCAGTTTTTTTTCCAAATCCAAATTAACCTGATATGCCAGATCGACAGATTTGGTTTCAAAAGGATAATGCTCCACCAAATTTTACTCTACAAGTGCGTACACACATAATGTATCAAGAGACATTATTTAAGGTACCACATTTTTTTGTAAAATAAACCAGTGGCGGGCGTACGGAATTTTCTAAAGAAATAAAATTTCTTTGATTTTTTCAATCCGATGTACGGTTTTCGCTTAAAAAAATAATAACCTCTTTTCTACATGGTCGTAAAAATATCGTTAATATAACAAGTAAATATTTATTAAAATCTGTTTTATTAAAATACTTCAAAAAATCGAAGTACTAATATGAAGTTCCAAGTTTCATTAAAATATCTGAAGTGCTATTACAGATTTAAAAATATATATATTGTATTTTTGAAAACCTAATTATTGACATTCAATTCGAAAACACCCTGTACATGGTGGTTCCAATTAAGAAAATCGAAATTCTTCAAGTTAAAATGATGCAAGCTGGTTCTGTTGCATATATCTTTTACTTAATCTTCGAATAACTCTAACATCAAAAATAATGGCGCAATTGTAGTCTTTTGCCAATTGTGAGAACGAATATTTTTTTAGGAAAATTAAAATATTGCAAAAATTGTTTATGTGTGTGTTGTTATCATTAAAAATTTTGAAGAAATTTAAAACTAATTCAAATCAAAATTTAAAAATAATATATACTTTATTCGTCACGCTTTTTTGATCCGCCCTATGTACTTTTGTAATTTTGAACTGTGTGTGCTAAAAATATTTACAACTTTTTTCTTTACAATTTTCTCGTGAAATTATTGAGAGAGATAATGAAGTCACTTATTATTGACTCACCGTGTCCAATACCACGCCTTTCGAATATGGCTAAGGCCACTAAGTTTTACTAACGATTAATCTCTCGTTTTAAGAAACAGAGCGTAGTCCTTTATCGCTGGTAATTTTTTGTCTCAGGTCGATAATGGAAACGGAAGAGGCGCCCAAAGAAGTCACCATAACGGTGTCTAGCAACATCGACAACATTATCCGTACCCTGGTAGCGAACGAGGAGGTAGTGTTCAAAAGCCAACAAAGAGGTGAAGCCGAACCGAGCGAATCCGAAAAAACCGACATTGCTTTGAGATGTTACGAGAACAGCAAACTCAATTTCCTGATAAAATTTGGCAAGCATCTCGACCGCAATCAGCTCAGCCACTTCGACCGGTTCACTGCTGAATCCGAGCCGAACTGGGAAGAAACGGGTATAGTGCTGGCCGAATTGACGAAAAAAAATTCTCGACAATTGGAGGTTAAAAACAGACGTTATAAGGCGTTGCAGCAGATGATAAAAGAAAACGCGTACTTTTCTGAAATAGAAATGATGAAAAGGAATCCCCTTCTTTACGAGCAACTGGTGGGGCAGTATTTAACCGCTGACGAAAAGAGGGAAAGGGACAAATACGTTATGGAGAAGGGGGTGACGTTCGTTAAAATATTGATGGAAGGAATCGAAAGGGACAACGCTGAGCACTGGATGAAGTTGCAGCAACAAAAAGAAGACAACAAGATGGAAGAAAGCGAATCGTCCGATGAAGACGCTGAGCTGGCTACCGGTAACGTAAGATGGGGGGAGTTTGAGGAGGACAAAATGGCCGTCACTAAAAGCAAGAAGAGATCTCCGATGGTAACGGCGCAGGAGCGGCTGCTGCTGAGGCAGGAGTTCGTGACCACCATGTATCAAAATTTTCTGGACGGCAAAGACGAAGCTTTCGATTACAGCGACGTGGACGATAGTGCTGTTTACGACAACGTCGAAGAAATTGAACACGATGCCGAAGATAGATATTTCGATTCCGAAGAGGCGGCGGAAGTTATCGGGGATGGCCACCAAAGCTCCGAAGATGAGCTGGATATTTATATGAATGCTTTGAATCAGCACCCTGCGGTGTGTGACCTGGCGCACAATATGACTCGTCTGTAATATTGTAATAAAAGTTTCAGTTGAACACATGATTTTCTAAATATTTAAAACCGTTTCGATTTTTTTTTTTTGATTGTCAGAATATTTTTTGTCTTAAATACAACTCCCCGTATATGTTATCTGTATTCAATTAAAAATATAAATTTGCAACGACAGGAACCTTTAAATATGGTTACCGTAGAAGGGGCAACTAGGGCACCGTTTCGAGACGTTTTTTCGAATAAGTCAAAAAGTTGTTCGCAGAATATCCTTGAAAATAAAATTGGTCATACCGATATGATAGTAAAATATAAATAAATAAATAGTTGGGCCGATTTGTAAAATACGCTACACATTCTAATTAAATCAGTACTGATTTTTTTTTAATTTTACAATAGCGCCATCGCAGATTTTTTTTATTGAATGAAAATACTTAATGCGACTTAAAAAGTAAGGTACATTTTAAGTTTTATCGAAGAGTATTTATTTATTCGTCAAAATTAGTATTGCCCAATTAAAAGTAATCTCCCCCAGATATAATACACTTTTGTCAACGTTTTTTCCAAATCTCATAGCACTTCTAGTAAGCACTTCCAGGAATTTTTTCTTTATCCTCCCAATCGTTCCAAACATTTTTCAACACCATTTGTTTCACTTTTCCAACGCTTTCATCAGTTATTGACGTGCTGGAGCATCCAAAGCGAGGTTCGTCATCGGCAACTTTTTTATCCAAAGTAGATTCAGTATATGCTGTTGTGAATATTTGAAGTGTTTTGCAGCACTATGTTCCATTTTTTACATATTTTTTGAAAATTGTTTGCTCCATTTTTTTTTTCACAGTAGAAAATCGCCGAACACAGAGAACACGTCTAACGCTTCTATCTCACAACAAAAAGTAAACGTATAAACTGGCTGAAACTGTGAACGTATGTTAGGGACATGTGTACCAACATAACAAAAAAAATATCGAAGATCGAATGTACATAGTCCGCTCAATTACAAGTCACTTTACTTTTTGAACACACCTCGTATTCCCCTAAATATTTTTACCATATACGCACACTGCATATATATGTACCGTTAATACCCGAAAACCGTTTGTATGCATAATAACTAAGTATTTTAGAAATTATGCGTAATTGCCGAAACTCTTACTGATTTTGCATAATAGCTAAGAATATTAGCAATTATCCGTAATACCTAAAACATTTATTCATTTAGCATATTTAGAAGTTAGAAGAAATTTCAATTTTTGTATAGCGTGCGTGTTGAAAAGCGTGTGAAATTTCCCGGGTAGTGTAAATATATTTTGATTTTCCTTAATAAAATTTTCTTTATTCGAATCTAAAATGGACTTTTATTTAGATAATAAATGAAGGCGTATGCAGCTTGGAAAACCTAAAATTGGTGTAACATTTGTCTTAACTACAACAAACTCTAATTAATAGTATTATTGTTAAACAGAATCTGTTTTTTTTGCAACCAAAGGGCAAAACGTTAAAGCCACCCTAGGCCTCAAGTGTTATATAACATTTTTGTAAATTCATTGTTTGACCCAGTGTCAATTTTAAAATTTACCCGCGTATTATTTATACACAGAGATTCAGTCCACTCCCAACTGTCTTTAAGCTTATCTACTGTAATACTAGAAACCAAATAAGTTAAGGTTGTCCATATGTAGAAACGTTTCTTGCAGAGCTTTGCGGCTCAGTGCTCTAACAACATTTTATTAGTTTTTTTAGCTCAGTTAAGTAATGATCAAAAATTTCACTCCCTTCTTGTTTTTGATAGTAAAAAACGACTCTTTCATTAATCGTTTTGCAATGGATAGTAGTGATGTAAGTCATAAGATCAGTTCTTGTTTAAATAGATTGCATAACAACTACATCTTCAGGTACTCCTGTAAAATTGTTAGTCAAAATCAATATTAATGGTTAAATTATTATGCAAAATCACAAACAGTTTTCAATAATTGAGCATATTGCCTAATATGCTCAGTTATTATGCAAAATCGATTAACAGTTTCAGTGGTTTTTCTGTACATAGAGGTATTAAACTGAGTTGAATCCGATCTTGTGACCAAGATATAGGGAATGATATTGCTCTGTTTTTCTTGCATTTTCTAATTATATTGTAAATTCTTCCAGTTACGGTGTTGGGTCCTTGGTTAATAAACTATATTATCCGTCTCCCAATATCAATATTTTGAATTACGGTAGCATTTCCATTATCAGTTGGACGTAGCTTAATAATTTTGTCTTATTTCAGGTTCATCCGTTCTGGTTCTATTGTTTGTTGGCTTTGTTTAATTCAAGGGTGGTTCCGATTTCTCACTTAAACTCTTCGTTGCGGTTGATCCAGCTTTTTGTTCCCTGCTTTGCTTATTATATCCAGAACCTTAACTTCTTAGTCTAAAGCAAAGAAGATTACGGACAACGCCAGTCGCGCACTGGTCCGCATGGAATAGTTCGAGGAAGAAGCTATCACATCAACAACTAACAAACCTAAATTTTGGTTGAGATATGTCCACGACACCTTGAAAATATTGCATCACTCCATGTATAAAACAGAGCAATACCATTCCTCGATGTCTTCGTCTTGAGATCGGATTCAGCTCAGATTAATACCTCCATGTACAGAAAAATCACAGATACGCATCATCCAACCACGAGGAATTATTCCAATCACTATAGAAAATAGCAAAGGCTATCTCCAGCAACTCTTGACGATGAAGCAAAACAAATTAAAGAAGATTTAATGCAGAACGGTTATTTTTAAGACTGAAGAACAAGTTATTTCCAACTCTCAATATGAGGAGAATAGCAACAAAATAAAAAGTCAAAAAGCGCCCTATGTTATAGGCAAACTATAAGAAGTTTAATGACGAAAACCAAACCAGAGAACATCACAGACAAAAAAAAACTGTAGGTACTGCGATTGTGGAAAATCTAACGTACATGGAGAAACAAATAGATCTGGTCGTCTCTTGGACAGAACATGACAGAATAAAATTAACAAACGCCAGAATTCTACAAGAAGTTGAATTTTCTGGTGAATTTTGGTTTTTACGGTATAATTTAAATATTTATGTTTCGAAAACGTTCATGTATTACACTTTCAAAAATTCACAATAAAGTTTAATTTACACAAAAGATAAGGTGGTCACATCTTGACGAATTTGTTAAATTAAGTTTTAATTAGTTTTTACATTAGTAACTAATTATTACAGTAGCAAAAAAGACATTCAAATTATCAATCAATCGACAAGGAAACCACCGAGAACCTGAGAAGACCACACTTTTCAAATTAATATTGGTAATACAAAATTTCTTTGATCGCATAAACTAGGTATAATACAGCCTAGACCCAATCATGTTCAAATTGAAATCCATCTACTTCAATGCATTTTGTCATAAGCCTTCGCAATTTGGCTGAACCAAGCAGAAATAGCTTTTATTTCCAGTACTAAATTGAGCCGTCATTCGGGATCTCACCAGCCGATTACTGGCAGGCCATCATATAGCTTAACTATTTCCACTTATTCCACACCATATTTATAACATTTTCCCCATTAGAATCAATTCGGAGAAAATATTCGTTTCTCGGCTCGCTTGAACTGCCGATTTCCAATAAATGTCTATCCAATTTGGCCAATAATTGTAGATGCGATACCACCCGCTGCGGATATTGATTTAGATACCGTTCATTAGCAATTCTGGAATTTCTGAGAGAATTGTAATAAATACTTAACGTATCTCGTTTTTCCCCTTTTTAAAGCATCTTTTTTTCTATAAAGTCGACTTATACAAACTGCAGTGAAAAGTAACAGTCAATTTAGGAATTAACAACTGTGTTAAGTGTATTTGACATAAATGATTCTAGTCCGTAGCCACCATTTCTTTTTGTATTGTATTTTATTGTATTGCATAATAAATCATTAAGTGATATATATGTATTTTTGTCAGAATGACTAGCTCTTTCGAGGTGTTGATGATGTTCACTCAAAACCGAAACGTCATACCTACAAACTAGTAATGCCAACTTGAAGGGGAAAAAAGTTGCAATGAGAAAGTGCCATTCAAGTAACTTACAGTTTAACGGACTTGTACAAAGCCATTTAATGAATCCGAAAGTGAAATGGATATGTATGTAGTAGGTACGAGAGAGAATTTTGCGTTATTTTCTAAGGACTCGGATCATCGCTAGTCGATGACTTTCTTAATTTCACTTCCCGAATTTGTGTTTCCGGTGACGTGATTTTTATAAACGATTGTGTTTTGCATTGTCCCGTTACGAACATGGATTGTTTTTCGAATAAAATTCAATAGTTTATTAAATAAATTTAAAACAAAGTATACAAAATATTCTCATTTTATTTTATAATGAAATTTCTAAGATTTCACTGCTGTTCTAATTCAAATTTACAATTTACACTCAAAAAATGTTGGAATGGATTTGAGAAACAAATTTAGAAATTTATAAAAACAGTTGATATAGGACGAAATCGACCAAATTACCTAATGTATCCATTTTCCTTTTAGCCTTACGGATGGAAATAGAGTTGATGTAGTCATTTTCTAGTGACAGTTAAGAAAACGGTAGTAGAAATCTCTTAAAATCGCCAAAACATATCAAAAACGAAAATCGATACCGTTCTAAAGCAGAATCGATGAAGTAGCGGAAAGTGTTATAGACGACGAGAAGTTGGACAAAGCGAAAAATATAATTGTTAGATGCTGTTTGTAAAAACTTTCGCAAAATAGGACACTGTGTGTTATTTTCAGAATCGCAACATGTAACTATCGCAATGTCAATAGACTTTTTTGCGCGAGTTACATGCCAATAAACTGCTTACCTTAGTATAATTTAATCGCACAGTGTGCATTTAGATATCGCTTTATTGCGTTTATGTAATTGTATACAACTTAACGTTAAGATAATTTTGAGACAGGAGAACCAGTTCTGTTCTTAACTTCAGGCAGTCAACTCGCTTTTGTTGTTATAAATCGTTCCCGTTTTTAACGACAATAAAATTCTTTAAGCAAATAAAAGTTTTTTTAAAAAAGTGTTTCTCTGATCAACAAACGTAACTCGCGCACCCTGTATAAAATGTTTTTGAAATACTCACTCAACCTAAATTCAAAATGCAGGATAAGTCAACGATAGGGTAAAGTTCATTATCTCATTGGTTTCAAAAGTTTCGAGAAAATTAAAATCGATATTGAAAAAGCCATTAAGTTCAGGTATATAACGTTATTAATAAAAAATGAATAATTTTAACAGGAATTTCAAATGTATGTTTTATTCCTCACGCTTTTTTGAGCCGCCCTGTACACTTTAAAATAATTGGTATCTCAATAATCGTTACAGCTTTTGTATTTTTCCTTTTCTCGTAACTACTTTTTGGCACTAATTCTCGGCGATTGTTTTCGTGTCCCAAATATTATTTAAAAAAATGTCAATATACTCTGTTTCAACGTAGGCTAATTGTATGAGAATTGCACAGGACTTAGTATTAGAGAATGCAAATAATGCGTATTAAATACATTTTTGCATAAAGTATAACCCTTTAACTGTAACATCAACCGTTGAAACTGCATCGTGTCTACTGGGCTTTACATTTAATTCGAGAAAGGATTAAGAATTCGGGAAGGCCCACTTAAATGAATTAATAACAGTAATTTCCAAAGTAAAAATTTTATATGTACACTTTTGAAGCTCACTAAGCCTAAAAAAATATCATTGGTGACTCAACAAGAGGGACACGAGAATTTGAAATAAGAAGAAGAAATGGAAACGAGAAGTGCCAAGCAATGAAGAGACCAGAAAGATATTTTGCAATCAACATAAGTTTGTGTTTGTTTTTAAATCAACCAATGCACGTTGCAAAATCATTTATTTTATATTCATTAATTTTTTTTTGCTTTAACAAAATAAATAAGAACTAAAAGTTCAGATTTTCACGAAATTATATATTATGACATGACAATTGTTTCGACAACACCGTGTCTTTATCAAATTTGATCATTTGATAAAGACACGGTGTTGTCGAAACAATTGTCATGTCATAATATATAATTTCGTGAAAATATGAACTTTTAGTTCTTATTTATTTTGATAAATGAATTTTCATCAAGTAAAAGCCACCTCAGTTCAATTTTTTTGCTTTGTTTGGGAACAGTTAGCAAATGATGTGGACGGATATTTAATTATCTTAAAAAAGAGACATGTTGAATGCAGAGCACGCTGCTGAACCATAGAAATCCATCCTATTTCTCAATTAACAACAATTATCACTTTAAACTCTTAAAATAAGACAAAAAAATTGTTTTAGTAAATATATCTTAATTACAAAATTTAGTTCTTTTTGGTTTTGTCGTTTTTGAAATATATTGAATTTTACAATGATTTGATTTTAAGGAATCTCAAGTAAGGTGACAACCTCAACGATAGAGTTGACGCTTTTATTGACACTTCAGAGTGTTAGAAATTGTATTGAACACACTAGCCTCAGTTTTAAATTTGAATAATTTTTTGGGACTTAATCGTGGTAGAACAGCCGACGAAGACGTAGTTAAACAGAGTGGGCCAAGAAACTTTCATATTGTCATATATAGTTTATAGTCTAAATAAAGATGAGTTACAATCTACCTAAAACTTAAAGCGTTTCTCAGAAATTTTGAGAAATTAAAACAACAGATCGTAATATATAGCGAGCTGCTCATAATTAAATTTCGTGCTTAGCTGAAAGTTAAAATAATTATTTAATTAATTAATTAATAATAAGAATAATCAAATGTGAAAATAATTGGAAGTGCAGTGTAATTTGTTGTTTATTAAATAAATATTTATAAAATTTTTTTGGAAAATAATTTTGAGCATGTGTTAAAAAAAGAGTCCAAAAATATTTTTTAGGCTTCTAATACAATACAGTGTGATCTGTTTTTAGAATAAAGAAATTGATCCTAAATAAAATATAAACACGGGATTTTTCATTTAACTCTAGGAAGTTATTTAATAAGATGTGGACCAAACTTTGGAGCCATTTTCATCACCAAACTTTATAATATTCAAATAACATTTTTATGTGGTGGTTGACTTTCGCTTTTCAGTTAGGCAGTAAATTTAATTAATTAATTTTTGAATTAAGGTCTATATTTTTTAATTTCTCAGAACTTCTCGAAATTGGCTGGGTCTAAGTATATGAAATGTAACAGTTACTTTTTTTGATTTATAATTATTAGAAATATAAAAAAATTTAGTGTGTTCTATAAGAAAAAGTAAGTTTGATATGTATCTTGTTTGGGTCAATCAGTATATCTCAAATAATTTTGTAAAATACCCTTCATGAGGCCACATAATCCTGTGCTGAAATTATTTCCCCTTTTTTTTTGTTTTTCGTGCAAAATCCCAGGCGAATGTACTCGGCGGCCCTGTATAAATGGATATTGCCTTCTGTTTCGTGATTATAAACTGCTTTTGTATTCAGGCATCGTCCAAATTAGAATACAAACTTGCTTTCTATCACGTTAACGATTCTTGTCGACTACACGCTGTTGCCCAAAACAAATTGTCGCCATTACTGGAGACGTGGTTGTTAAAAATATAGACCGTGTTTTACTTTCAAAAATAATTAGAAACTTGCTTCCTCTAGGAAGCATATTTTTAAAGGTATAATAGTTGTTTTGTTTAGTTTGGTTTCGTGTATAATTAGACATTAAAGCTGGAAGGGACAGAAAGGCTCGAAAACGAGGGACTTCGCGGTGTAGGTGGTATCTGCGCAATACAGGCTGAAGTACTAACCACACTACCTTTTTGGGATATTGCCAGAAGGTCACACTGGTCTCTCTGTATTCATGTAGGCTCCGTCTTCAAAGTACCGATCTCTGTTTCTCATTTTCCTATTCTGCTTATTAATTTATATTCTATTAATTATGGTTTTGATGCTTAGCGTTTCGAGTTGCCGTCATTTAACTTGGTCGTGACGTAGTGTAGTAGATATTGTGATTGTGGCAATAGTATAAATGTAGCCGTACAGCTTTTGAAAAAAGATACCAGAAGTGGTTGAATTTTCCGATCAAATTCAACACAAACAAGAACCCGGAAAAAACCAAGGTAGATCTTTGAAACCTTTCAGTAATTTTGGCAATCAACCTAAGAAACAAAGAACATTGCCATTGTTAAAAAGATATTTCCCGGCAGGGATTCTATTTGCTGCTAAAAAAATCTCGAGGTTTCCGGTCAGAGAAATGCTTAAAAAATACTTACAAAAAAGTCTTTTAATGTTGACCCGAAAGAGCAAAGAATCAAAAAGCCAATCAAGCACTCACCGGAAGAAGCTCTTGATTTTTTATACATGTGCTATTGACAAAAAACTCACTTATTTTAAGGCAAAAAGTGGTGAATTGCCGAGTTGCTAACATTTACCCGAAATACAATATTATCCTTAAGGCTAATAAGGAATATTCTCCAAATGAACTTAACATTATAATAAAGGGCGTATATGTTGAGGTTAATCTACAGGCTCTTGTGAACCATTCCTCGCAAAGAACACTGGGAACGCAGTAGGACTAGGAATAGTACTCTATTACTACTAAATTAATCTGACATCTAAAATAGCAATCATTGATGAAAAACTCTTAAAAATTTAGGATAGCACATCAATAACTGGACCACTCTATACATCTGTTTATTGTTATTTATCTCGTTTTGTTTGTTTTTCTATTTTTTAGAAAAAAACATTTTTTGGTCTAGGCAAAGATTTTCTCCCCTCTATGTTATTTTACGAGACCATGTGCTCGGGTTATGAAATAAATGTGGAGAGATTTGACGAGTATTGTTAAATAACAGCAGCGCTTGTTGTTAGACTTCATACATGGTGTTATATGGCAGCAAGCAAATTGCTTCCGGTTATGGTGATCAAATAATAAACGCAGCATCTTTACCTATTGAAGAAAGAATATACAGGGAAAGTTTCTCAAGGAGGTTCTCACGGGAAGAATCAATGAAAGATGCACTATCAATATCGTCTGATCCTTATATTCGGTTATCGTCTAAATGTGTGAGTGCACGGTTAAATAAGGAACTATTCATCAAAGAGGTTCTTAATTTACTTCGAGAACCTAGACCATCAATTTATGTCTCTTAGTAGTGACGAAGATATCGATGGTGATTAAATAAGAGTATTATTACATACATACATACATACATACATTTTGTGTTTTTTTATTTTTTATTTTATTTTATTTTATTTTTTTATTTTATGTTTTTTTTACTGTTCTAGTTAATTTTTACTCGCAATTACTAATGCAGTACATATTTTGTTAGTAGTATCGAACTAAAGTTTTTGTTTGATTTAATTAATAATGACGGCGATATTTTTATCTGCGGTTCTACGGGAGAGAACCGTATGGCATCCTATATTCGCGTTCTTTGGAAAGCGCGGTGCCATCAAAAATTTTATTATTATTTATTATAACTTCTTAAAATTTGAATGTTTGGTAGTGAACATAAATAACAAGAAACCATCTCAAAAGAGTTTTTATTATCAAACATAAATTAATTTCAAACATAACTTATGCCTTAACGCTAAGGAAAAGTTCAATCACAAATATCTCATGGCTCCAATTTCCTAGCGGTCTCCACTATGCCCTTGTGATAAGTCTCGCTCGTTGTGTCCTTCGCATCTCTTACTTCGTATCCACCATTTACTTCGGCTTCTTGCAAGTTTACTTTACCGAATTCGATTGAGCCGAACCCCGTTTGAGCTATATGCTTCAGTGTTTGCAAATTGCCATTTCGAGCTTTCCTTTGAGGAAACGCGTCGCCGCGGCTGGACTTGAACCCGTGCAAGTGTTTCAAATCGAAATCTACTCCATCTAGTTTGTTGGTAATCTCATTAGTGTCACGAATCATGATTCCGTCGATTTGTTTCGCGGGTTTGTACGTCTTCACCTTCGAATGACCTTGAATTATAAGGTACAAAGGCGCCTTCAGAGGCTGCACTTGATCGGTTTTTAACGGATCTGTCGTCAGCGTGTTTACTGTCGTCGGCTCTTCTGTAGTTGTTATCGTGGTGGTGGGTCTTATTTCTGAAGCCGATGCTAGGTATTGCGTGGTATCCACTTGTTCCTTCTTTAAAATACCGACCACGGGACGCGTAGTTTCTATAAAAACGGGGCTTTGAGTCGGAGGAGGCGGTTGCATGGTCTGCATATCTATAATGGTTTGCATGGTTAAGGGCGAGAACATTTCCCTCGAAGGCCCCATCGGCATCGGCACTATATCGTCCATTCCGACACCCGTCGAGTGCATTTGAGCCAAGGGTTTCTCAATTTTCACGTAGGTGTTGGAGATTTCGTTGTCGTCCGTTACTTTGCCTTTGACTAAAATCTGTGACTCCAAGTTGGGCAGCGGCGGCGGGGTGACGTAGTTGATATTGTGATTGCTGTCGGAAGCTTCGAGCACTTTGTTGCTTAATTTGCTGTCTGGTGCGAATTTCACCGGCATATACGAAGCGGAAGGTGACAAACTGTCGACGTAGAGCACTTGCTTCTCGGTAGTGGGACTAAGTTCCCGATGAACAGAAGGCGACGATGTTACGTATTCGTCACTAGGTTTGAACTCGTTGGGGTCGCTTAAACTACTCGAGTGATAAACGAGGTTCGACTCCTGAATCGTAACGCTCGGGGTCGAAGTGGAATATTTTGGGCTCGGCGAACTTTTTGTCTGCGGTTCTATGGGAGGTGGCATTAGCACCGTATACGGCATCCCATGTTCGGGTTCTTTGGAATGGGCGGTCCTGTCGAAGATTTTATTCGCGAACGTGAATATCGAGGGGAACATCGACGACGACATGGACGGGAAAAAGGAAGGCCTCGAAATTCTCTGATTCGACACGTAGTTGTTCTCGTCGGAATATTTCGAATACGAACTGTACGAGTCCTTCCTGGAAACCGGGTTGACGACGGCAGGCTTTTTGGACGACACTCCAAGCAGAAGGATTTCTTTCTTCGGGTTGTCCCTGGACGATTTGGAATCCGATTGCTTCTTCGGGTCGACCCAGTACCGAACTTGGTCCAAGACTGGAGGAACGTAGTCGAATGTAGGGTCGTTTTTCAAAGGGTCGCCTCTCCCCAAGGGTTTCCACTGGTCGTAGTCGATTCGCGGCACGATCATACCTTTGTGGTCTGCAATTAGAGAAATGTTTTGCAGGATGTAAACTTTGCAATGCGGATAATTTTATACTGATTGCATCTCTTTAGTACGGGGTTTCACGCTTTGATTCATAATTTGTTACTTGCAAAACTGAAATATCTTCAAGTAATTCTTTTGAACTTGTAAAAACAGGTAGACACAGTCGAGTTGAAACTGCAAAAAGTGCGTTTACAAACTTTATATATCTAAACTCGAACAATTTGCAGAAATTCATTTACCATTATTATTTCTTTCAACTTTGCGAAAGTAAAAATTCTAAAAACCGAAAATAATACAAAAAAAAGGGAAATTCTGGAAATGGTTGAGATCCAAAAAAATAAGAACTCTATAAATTCGAAAACGGACACCAACAATCTCAGTAAGTTATATTGCAACATTCTGACATAAAATAACAATGAAAGATACAACATAGGAACATATTAATATAAAATTATAATATATAAAAATAAAATAAATAAAAGAAAAAAATTATAAATTAACAAAAACACTCTGTATATCCTCTGAACCTTGCACCAAAACAATTGTGCATCGTACGATGTTTTTACAGTAAAGTCGACGGGAGCAAACCTCGCGTATCGGTATTATTATTATTATTTTTTTTTTAAACTCTTATATATATTTTAACTGTTTCGTTAAATTTGTGTGTATTATGTGTGTGAGTGCCGTATACAAATCATTTTTTGTTGGACTTTTATCTTTTATCAAGGGTATGACTTTTTTATTCTCATAGTTGGAAAAAAACCAAAACAATAATATTTCTAGGCACTATGACAAAACCAAACGCTTTTAAAGTATAAACTTCCATATGATGCTACCTCTTCAATTTTAAGATTTGTGTTTGTCTCTTTTTGGTAAGGTTCTTTGTAATTCCGTTGTGTAAAAAAAAAGAACTGTACTATAACATAGACTGTATCCCTTTCTGAAGAAGGTCATAGAAGACCGAAACGTCAATATATGGACAAAAAATTTTAATCGCTTTTAATACAAAGACCTATAACCCAAGAACCAAAAGCTAAACATAAATATAGAGAAGGTCTAAGAAAAAACAAAATATAAACAATATATATATATATATATATATATATATATATATATATATATATATATATATATATATATATATATATATATATATATATATATATATATATATATATATATACATATATATACTGATGATAAATACGGCGGATTTTTTTATCTTACAAACGAAAATATACGCCTCAATAAATTTTTATAAAAGAACACTTTTTGCATATTTTCTCACAAAGAGCGAAATGGATTGAGTTAGACCACTCCTACCATTGTTCTTAACTAAATTTGAAGAACTTACACAACCACATGAAAATGAAATAGAAACGCTAAACTAGGACTCCTCGCCTTAAGATTTCGCATTTATTTCGAAACCGCGTTAATGTGAAGAGTTTCATATAACCCGTTTTAAGTTTGTCACTTACTTTCGTGTAAGAAGTCATCGTCAGTTTTTACAGACACTGTGGATAAGACAGCACCCGCCAGTACCCAAAATAGTTTCCATCTCTTGCCCCTGTTCGCCATGATCTGCAAAAATACGTTAAATTTAAAGAGATGTCTTGCCACAGGAAAAACATTGACCATATTTTTTACTGCTTTAGGAAACTTCTTATTTTACATCCATATTACACCTCAACTTAGTGTGTCCACTGATACGAAAAAAGGACATAAATCGGAAAAGTAAACACAATGCTGGGCGGGGAAGAGCTTGACACAAAATGTAAATTTTCATAAGAAAATTATCCTCTGAACCTATAGTGCGGCCAAAGTAATTTTTTTATCGATATGCCCCTCAGACGTTCATTATTTCATGTCCTCGAACATCAGAGACCTTTTAGACCTTGCTTGGTAAATGAATACAATAATTTCCCCTAAACAATATAGCTCGCTCAAATATATTTAGATAATCACATTATAGCAAATAAAAAGTTTTAGTGTCACGAGTTAGGTTGGGTGTTTTATTTTTTATTTTTTAATGTTATATTTCATTTTTTATTAACAAGTACTATATATTAACAATAATAATATTTATTATTAAGTTCTTTTAATCACAATTATGGGATCGTCAGGGTTATAAATATATAAATAAAAAACAACATATTCATTAAAGATTATTTTTAAATTCATATCTTCTAAGTTGTCAGTCAGATTTAGAAGATTGTAACGGTGCATAATTACGGTTCAAAAAAGCGTGATGAATCAAAAATATATTTTCTTTTTAAAATTGTTCAACTTTTTTATTAATAGTTTTTCCAATTTTTAATTAAAAAAAAAAACATTAGTTTTCATATTTGCAAAAAAAACATTACGACAGCGGCATTATTCTTCATATATGAAATTTTTTTAACTCATATTTTTTATTAGCGTTATTCGGAGATGATATAATAGACATATGCAAAGGGAATTTGAATTATATGCTGCAGGGTGTTCAAAATATACGAATATATCTGGATCACTTTAAATTGAAAAATTCAGATTTTCTTAAATGGCACGCGATCGATTTATTTTAAGTTTTCCAATATATAGCCCCGTTTCTGCCAAATACTATTCCCATAAAATTAGTGGGCCATGACAAAATGACATTGTTAAATTCTTACCTGACATCTGAGAAAATAAATTCATACAGTTTATTGTGGTGTCAGTAAAATAAAAAGAAAACTAGGTATAGAAGATAAGTTCATTTTTAGTAATAGGTATTTAAAAATAATTATTTTTTATGTGAATTTAAAATTTGGCAGTTATTTTGAAATAGTTTTATCATGGCCAACTAATGTTCCAAACATAAAGAAGGGTAAATATTGGAAAAGTTAAAATAAATATGATATATTTAATATAAGTTGTAGGTTTTTGATCTTTCAGAAAAATAATATACATTTTGTGACATTTAATAAAATCGAGATTTTTTAATTTAAAATGATCAAATATATTCGTTTATTTTCAACTAAAAAAAAATAATGGAGCTATTGTAATTCTTTTGCATAGGTATGTGAGAAGTTGTATTCTTTTAAAAAACTATAATATTGGTAAAGCGATTAGGTTTAGTTATACAATATTAGTAATACAAAAGTTTAATAATTTGCAAAACGAATTCAAAATTTAATTTCTATTGAAAAAAAAGTGCTATTCGTTACGCTTTTTTGAGCCAATTTAAAATAATTTTAAAATTTTACTTGCGAACAATCGTTGCCCCTTTTTTATTCTTATTTTTGGCCTTTGAATAAAATTAGATTTATTATTATTATTATTATATTTCCTCTTACTTTGCCTTTGAATAAAATTAGATTTATTATTATTATTATTATTATATTTTCTCTTTTCTTGTTCGGCCCTTTTACTCGCTTTTCTGGACTACCAAATAACGATTCTCGAATCACATACATACAAACATTGTTTAAAGTTTTCAATAACTTTTATAACTACTTCATTTATCTACTTAAATAGGAAAACATTTTTTTTATCACTAGCTTGTAACCATTTTCACTTTTGTTTGAAACATTTAGTAACTTTCAGAAACAAGCAATGGAAACTCAAAGTTCGTTGCTGGAAAGGGGCCTTAAGATTGCCACTGTTCTTGGGTTTGCATCTTGCCTATTCCGTCTTCGAGATTTTTTATTAATTTAAACATACAATTTATAAGCGACGCAAATAAAACTGTCAATTTCGAAATAAATTGCGTTAGAATTATAGGGCACAGGTGTCACCGAAGACTTCGATAAAAAAATGTTTGGTATCAAAAGACGAATTAAATTTGATATTTCCGGGTTAATTAATTGACTATCTCGAACGTTCTGTAAATCACATTTTTATATTTATTAAATGGAGGATATTGATTTCAATCCAACTTTTTGATTTGATTTTTCGATTTACATAATCAATATTTTATGCCGTACGTACAGGCTCTTCGGTGCAAAGATTTAAAATAAACAATAAATCTGTTCTTCCGTACAAGTGTGTAACTTGTTTCATTTTGTCAAGGGACATACAAAAAAATCTGGTTTTTATGGATCAGTCAAAAACCTTTTAGCTCATTTCGACTCTGCATTCTTATCTATGATCATCAGGGTCTTTGTTTTGAATAGTTCTGATCTGTTTTCTAATGCTAGAAGTTGATATAAATCATTATTGGACGCTAGAAGTTAGTGATCTTGGTATTTGATATACCTAGTATGACATTGTATAGAGGAGAGTAAAGAACTAAAAAGAAAATGTAATTTGAATATATACTGCGTGCTGTTCTACGAGTATATGAGGGTAACATTTACTCTTAAGCGAATAAAAAAATCGGTTAATAATTTATATTGGGAGGACAGTGAAGTTAACTGATATTCCAAGGTCCACTTTGAGTGGATTGCTTGCTAGTGATTCAGTAGAAATTAAGGAACGATATGACAAATGCATAATAAGTGTTTAGTAATGCTGATGGTAATCAGAGAAAGTCACTTGAATAAAGGAAGGCAAACGTCTTCATCGAAATATATCTTGAATGTACACGTATCTAGAAGAAAAAGAAGATCCATTTTACACTGTGGCTCGAGGGAAAGTTGGGTGCCAAATATTTTGCTACTCTTACCAAAAAACATTGGGTAAAAATCTCTCTTTTTCCAAATATTCGCCGAAGCAGCGTAATAGTCTATGATAATGCCAATTATCGCGACACTTTAACTAAAAAAGTACTAACGAACAGCAGCAAAAAGGAAGCATAGTTGAAGTTTTAGGATCCAAATCGTATGATAAAATTTTCATTGCATAGACGAGGTCATAAAAAAATTCAGTTTGATATGGGTCGAATTAAAAAACAAAGTTCGGTGTAATAATACAAAATCTTAGCGATATCACAACGCTGAGCCTGCTTACAAAAAATATTGTACGTCATACTTCCCGAAAGGGCCTTTGTGAAACTTTATACTTGCCTAATCATCCATTACAATAGCACTTTCAGGACTTATTGTTATTCTTATTCTATATAAGTTTTTATTTACTTGATCTTGAATGATCAATATCATCAATTATCTGTCCAGCTGGGTAATTGTAATTGTAATTAATATAATACTAATTATTCTAATTTTTCAAAGAAACTTCCACAGCTTAATACCAATATTTTTAAAAATCTTCTGGATTTCTCTTGCGTCAGTTGCTTATAACCCAAACAAAAGTAGGAAGTTAGACGCTCAGCTACTGAAACTGTAAACTAACTTATTTGTTTCGTTTTAGAGACTATAACGTCATCCCTAAACTACATTAAATATCCCATCATATCAAAACTAACCAAAACTCTGGTCATAAAATTCTTCGTAAATTCTAGTTTCGCTTTACTTCGAGAAAGAATCCATTATAGCCGTAAAGAACCAATAGACAAAATCGATAAGACTCTTATGCCTCTACATCTTAAAATTGCTTCCATTTTGTTCCCGGTTGAGTTCGATACCCTGTCAAACAAGATTCATGACAAAGTTGGAAATCTTCGTTTATCTTCTACACACAATCATATTCAAATGTTTAAAAAACTAACTTTAACAATAGTGAAACCATCAAACTTTTCTCAACTACCAAACACTGTGGTAAAAGGAAGAAATCATTTCAAATGTCGAGTCTACGAGATTCGATTTGAAGCCTCAAAAATCACAAGAAAAACAAAATTCCAAAATCTAACATTTCAAAATCTGAACGCAATGCTCTAGATATCTAAAATCTAATCCCGAAATTGTAATTTTACAAGCAGATAAAGAAAGTGCTACGGTAGTCATAAACACAACGGACTATCAGGAAAAAAATCAAGATATTCCTATCGGCGGATTCTATCGCCAACTTCAAAAGGATTCCACGTCCTCTATGGCTTCTCCTCTATCAGAATCCGTGAACCCGACGTCCAGTGAGTTTACTGGAATATTCGACTATTCAGTAGTTCGTTAGTTTTGTTTGGTTTTGTTTACGTTCATACGGACGACGAGTGGGGTATGTATTTATTAACTTATTTTTTCATTATCGTACAATGTAGTAGTGTTTTTGATGTACAATATTAAAATTTAATTACAAAATTAATTTAAACTGACTGTTCTGAATTACAATTTATCTTATCTGAAATTAAACTGACCGTCCTGAATTACAATTGACGCTTTCTGAAGTTAAATTAACGATTCTGAATTACAATTTATATTTTCTGAAATTAAATGTGGAAAAGGTGTGCATTATATCAAAGTGCACATATTATTGTAACTATTATTGAATAAAAATTAAAAACCCAAATAAAAATGAATCCAGTGGCACTGTTGCTACTTCAAAAAAATATTGGACAAACTATGTTATCTAATAAAAAATTGAGAAAATATCAAGAAGAGTTTATTATATACGGATTTACATTTTGCGTTGTTAATGGGAGAGAACGTCCGTTGTGTGTTAATAGCTTGGATAAATTAGCAAATGAAAGTTTGAAACCTGCTAAATTAAAAAGACATTTGGAAACGAAATATAAAGAATTTGCAAATAAATCTGAAATTTTATTTAAAAGACGAGCTTAAAGTATGAAAAAT